GTCACGCTTAGGAATGTCAACTAACTTCCTTCATTCGTAGGAAGTCTAGCTTCTGCCGTGTGCGCAGATTCGTAGGAAGTCTGGCTTGTCGCGTGCGTCATAGACCGCGCGCACGAGCGCCTCAGAGTCGGCAAACTGTTACGCTTTGCTGTGGGCATCGCGAGGCAAAATATGGGCCCGTGCGGCATTCCTATAATTATATAACAGCACGTCTAATCGACAAACACCACCATGTGTGTGAAAGTCCACTGCTAATGATACGCAACTTACTACACCGTGGAAGAACAGAGTATTATGGTATAATCAGGCCTAAATTCAAAGACTTAGTTTTCGACCTGCCATGAGTGCTCACAGTCCATCCGCCAGTCTTTTAGCATCAACGGCAAAATCCTTTGAACTCTCAAATAGGCCTGGCTAGTAATGGTATGTGGCACGGCGCACACCCCTTCAATATTGTGGCTGATATTATTGTAGGATTTTGGTGGTAAAAAACCGTCCGTTTTAGTCTAGTAGTACGGTGTGTAGTTTTACCACCACCCGAACGTTGATAAACAACGTAGAAGTGTCATTGCACATAGTAATTTACGTGTAACTAAACAGGTTGATAAAAGGGACGTAGTTTTTACGTCTTAGTCTCCGTCTCCCCCACTGTAAATGCTAGCACACCCACCACGTTCTCTGCCAGTTGCGGTGGGCGAGTACTCCTCACCTGTGCTTGAGTAAGTCCATGAGCGAGCTCTGTAGTCTGATATCTCATGACCTGGTCCACACAGGAATAAACATGTTCTCTATGGTCCTCTCAGGACACGCTATGAGATAGAGAATAGAGGGGGGGACAAAAGTGGGGATGGGTGTAAGGGTGAAGGTATGGTAAGAGGTTGAGGTGGCACAGGTAAACGGTGGGGTTAGTAATGGACAGTATAAACTCCAACGGTAAAAGAAAATGTGAAGGGGCCGAATGCAGGATATGTCTAGGGTGTAAGAAGAGACAGAAGTAGAAGGCGAGAGGCCGTAACACGCGAGGGAGGGAAGAATAGGAAACAGCACATGTAAGTAGTGGGCAAACCACACTAAACATCTAGAAAGCTGCAACTGGCGAACGTAAAGGTGGCAGATCACGCGACTTAGACGGCAAATGTCACTAGCCCACTCACTACTTGCTGTATAGCAGGCTTCCAGGACAAAGTTTGAATTTATAATTGTAGGATAGCCAAATATTTTACTTGGATGTATTATTACTAGGAATGCGCACGCGCATATTTTGCCTCGCGCCTGCCACAGCCAATGCGTTAACAGTCCGACTGAGGCCGCTCGTGCGCGCGCATCTATACTGACATGCGCGCGAAGCCATGACTTCCTACGAATCTGCGCGCACGTCCGGAAGCTGACATTCTAGCGTGACCGTAAGTGGACACTTCCTCTGCGTGACTAGTGACATGCTAGCGTGACTGCGCGACGTACTACGTACGTACTCATATCGCGAGAATACAACCCTTATATTGGCCTCACGCTACGCGCTCTGCAATTAATCTGAACACACTAAGTAGAACATTATTCATGCCGTAAAATGCCATTCTCGACACCTGAGCTTGAAAGGTTGGCTCTTGACAAAGAGACCTCGATATACTTACACAATGAAAAGCACTTCTAAAGTGCAAGATCCCTCGTCGACGACATGTGCATGCCTGATACTCCTATGCTCTGGTTTGGTTATAATAGTATGCGTTTACTCGTGGTCTCCCGTCTAGTAGCTCGCGGAGAGTCTGACACGGGCTAGCTACAGTCGTCGATAGCATGCGGAGTCGATTGCACGCCCTTCTGTTGTGTGCTTCTTGTGCTTTCAAGATGCACAGAGCCAGCGGATCTGGTGAGGTAATATAGTACAGCCAGTGCTAATTTGCATACTGGCATTATCACTAGGTTTTTCACGCCATATCTCTTGAACGAGTACTCGAATTCGCCAAATTTAAAATCAGGCCAGTGTAGCGCTGAACCTTTGGTATCGCTCTTCGTTTTGTTTGTTGAGTGTGGTTGCAGAAAACGTGGTAACAGCAGACAACACACTAACGTACCAAGTATTCACAAGTAGAGGATCCACACTCCTACTCTTTTTGCTGATAGACAGACCACAGAAGATCACATACCATTCTCCTCCCTGTGTACAACATACAGTGTACACATGTAGCAGTGCACAGTGTGGTATGTAGTACCTCTGTGCCCATGGAGATCTCGGCAGCCTGTCGAACCTCTTCCTCCACCTCTTCCGGCAGTATTTTCGACAGATTTGCCTCACTGATCTCACTGCGCATCCCTACACACACGTCCACACAAAATAGGTACATACCCCTCATTAGTATGCTAATAGAAAAACCAGTAAACAAGTGCAACATTTGTCTACAAGCCAAGGCCCAACACAGCATTCAACAACCAAAATATCTAGGTATGAACAGACAGTATGTAAAATGCGGGTATGTGTGTGTGTGTGTGTGTGTGTGTGGTGGTTCTGACCGATTGCCTTGACAGTCCTGCAATAGGTGAGGTTGTCAGTCACGATCTTTTCCCCATCTCAGGGAAGTGCCAGCCGTACCACTCCCTGCATCGCATGTTGTAGTTATTGAGTTCCTTGTCAAGGTCATCTAGTAGGGCTGTGGGGGAGAGAGGAAGGAGGATAGGTGGATCGAGGTGAGGCGTGGCGGGAGATGCTTTGGGAGTGGTCTGTTCCTCGCGCCGGGCGGATGGCGTGCTGCGTCGACGACGTCACTGCGTGTCGGTTGGCCGGACGAGGGTGCGCAGGCTTCTGCGGCGCTCCCGGCTCGCGAGAGCGGGCGGGCTAGGCGGAGCGTATAGGAGGGAGAAATCACACTGGCTGAAGTGTTTCGGCACGCCACACACCCGACAGGCAAACGCGTCATAATGTGCACATGCAGATTTTTTTAGCATCCATTATTGCAGATTGCGATATTCGTTAACATTAAATGGCGTGCTACCATTCCGGATGTAGTCCAGTAAAACTCACATATCGCCTGAATGATCATAGTGTCCACCTTGTCAGGACTGAACTTTAGCTTGTAGCGAGAGAGACTGGAGAGAGAACGAAGGACAGCGGTTCAGACACATGATCAGTCACTTGACAATCATATCAGTCAGTAATGATCACATGATCAGTCACATGACACATAATTATTGATCAAACCATTACATAATATATGGAATTACATGATAAGAATCACAATAACCACATTAATAGTCAGTCATGTAACGATCACATGATCGTTACATGATGATCACATGCTCACCTGTGAGACAGCCCCAGAGCCATCACTTTCATTTCCGACTGCGGCAGACCTGAACACAACATGTATATATATATATCAGCCTCACAATTTTACCAGTGTGAAAAAACAGCACTAGACAACATGCTTTTCACAAAAGCATGTGTCAATAACGATGTATCACGGCAAAGGCAAAAACATAACAACACGACGACACCCAGGACGTTTTTTTTCTTAAAGAGATGCAATAGGTGGTATTTGAACACACAACACTAGGCAAGCACAATAGCGACTGAGCTGGATCTTTAGTCCATTCAGCCCCTACCATTATTACTAAGATACAATATCACACAGGTCACACCCTACAGAGCACTCAACATTCTTTGGTCACAAGTACAATGAAACATCACACAATCCACACGCTTGATCCTGCACTATATCTCTCGACACACACATGCCCGCGCAGACAGAATCAAAGGAATGTTTGCCATAAGCACACACACTGCATGCTAGAGGTGCTAGACCTGTAGGAGGTGTCTGGGTCATCTGACCACCCCATGATTCCATCTGAAACAGAACAGCTCTGTGATGGCTGAGCTGTGGACACAACTGATGTTCAGCTTCTCCTGTGGCACAGCACAATGGTCAAATTTGACGATTACATTAAGCCTCAGGGGGAAATTTCAACATTATGGCTGCTGCACTCTGCTGAGCCAGTCGGAACCCACTACTGCCTAGCCCACTTGCCTGTATCATACATGGTGTGGTATATTGTATGGCATGACTAGGTCAGGACTGCTCGAATAAGACACCCTTTATAACCATGACCTTTTTCTCTTCACTTTTCTTGCAAACTACATGGGCACTTTCGTCTACTCATGGCCCTCCGACATAGAGAGTATTTCCACTTTGGCCATTTTAAAATTGAAAACCGGAGTTAAATTCATACCTTGATGGCACTGCCCAGCTAGCAAGATCGTCCACCAGGCAACCGTCCTGCATATCGACACAAACACCTTCTTCAGCGCCTTCTTTCATCCTCCCATCCCTTGCTCATCTTCCCCTCCACAGCAGCCTTAGCAGCAAGGGTTAAATGACGAAAAGAACTAAATTGCAAACCGCAGTGACTGCGCATGTTGTCGGCTACCGGAATTGGATGGGTTGGGCTATTAGCTTGCATTTAACTCAGCAGTGGTCTCTCCCGTGCAACTCCTATGATTCATATGCACATGATAAACCTCGTGGATAGAAAGATATGTCTCTCCAAAACACCCTGACTCGCGTGAATGATTCATACTATAATACGTATGTCATAGTGGGTGTCATTTCCTTTGCAAAAAGTTCACCCCTGTCCCTAAATTCACGCTAATCCCCAAAAGATGTCGCATCAATAGCCACCACACCACCTACTCTTTTAACCACAGAGTGATGCTATAATTATTGTAATGCTTACAGTTTACTTGCAGACTCCGCATTCTCGAACTGCTGGTACAGATCGTCGATGCTCTGCAGTTTTCCCTCGTCCAACAGCTAGGGACACGAGGAAAAGCGTGACCAACGGCGAACGGAACATGCATATCTTCAGGCTTGGTGCGTATAATGCTCTTTACCTTGAATATGGCGTAACCAGCCGCCGTCTCAAACAGTACTAGCATCTTACAGCACCGTCTTCTAGTCTTTCTGCCGCCACCGGACTGCCACCACGTGGGAAAGTGGGCGTTGCTCCTGGCGCACGTGTGCTATTACGAGTGCGCATGCCCAGAACAGCAAAAGTGAATGTTTGTTTGTCAGTAAGACAGTCATGAAGTGTATAGAGGTGACTATCTGGCTGTTTCTGGCTGCAGTGGTTTCAGCTAAACCACCTAATATGGTCTTCATGCTCATGGACGATGTGAGAATAGCAACGACTAGCTGCTTCATAATAAACTTACTAGCCTCTGCGAGTCAAACAGAAGTAGTTTTATGCCCAACCAACGTCAGCTTGGGTTTGATTGTTGCGTGTGTAGTGAACAGCGAGACCAGAGATCCAGTGGGAGGGGCTCGTATGGATTTTGCACCACTGTCTACCGAGCTGTTTGTTTATAGCTGTCTTGTAGAGTGTCCCTTTTATGACCGTTGTATGTATCCCGGGCCGGTCTGACTATGTGCACGCTAGCCATAGCTAGTAGCTATCCATGAGTTTACTGTTGCAGATGGGCTGGGGAGACCTGGGTGTGTACGGCAACGCAGCCAAGGAGACTCCAAACTTAGACAAGATGGCAGCAGAGGGCATGCTCCTCCCTTCCTTTTACTCTGCCAATCCGCTCTGCTCTCCGTCTCGTGCCGCCATGCTAACTGGCCGATTACCAATCAGGAATGGATTCTATTCCACAACGCTCATGCTCGGAATGGTATGGCACAATTGTGACCATGTACCCAGGCATTTGTCGTTTTGAATAGTGCATATGCACAGACCACTAAGAACAGAGAGCTTTGGAAATGTTTTGTGACTACGTTTCTTTCTGAGGTTCAAATGTAACGTTAACAAAGTGTAAAGTACCCCATACAATCAATATAGGCCTCTAGTACAATGCCTTGTATCGGAATAGTAAAATCTGTGAACAGTACAGTAGGTCAGATTATAGAAAGAGGACTAAGCTAAAACACTATTACTGCCAGCAGAGAAACTTTCGAGGGATAAAGGTTTTGTATTGAAGTGGCGGAGAAGACTGTGCATCATGCCATTACAAAGTGTCCCTGTCCGCAAAAGCTTTTGCACAACCCTGAAATAACCGCACGTGTGTAGCATTTCTTTCCCAAAAGTTTCCTGCCCAGTGTTTGGTGTACTGGATGACCAGTAGGTCTGAGTTAATTCCTGCATTAATCGTATGGTCAAGTTCATTGACCTAAGACCTCTCTAATTCCTTCATGTTTTTATCTCCGTCTCCCACAGCTTATACTCCTCAGAACATAGTGGGTGGCATCCCAGACTCTGAGATTATCTTTCCTGAACTACTCCTCCAGGCTGGCTATGCCACTAAAATCATTGGAAAATGGTGAGCTCTTCCTGGTCTCAACTTAATTGAGCCCCTTTTTTTCACACCTGTAATCTAATCCGGACACCAATGGAAGTGTCCTTATTAGTGAGGTGTGGGATTGGAAAGGTTTCCTTGGGGGAGAGTGGTGTCCTTACTAATAGAGGTGTCCTTATTTCAGGGTGCCCATTTTAAGAGAGGATACACTGATTGATTTCTTAAATCTTTCCTAACATGATACTAAAGCCAATTTTCATAACAATAAGACATTTTATTGGCTATATCTTTTATGTACCCTGTGGTAGTACTATTTCGTATGCCCAAGCAACAAAATTCTGCACTATACACCATGAAAACTACACATTCTCCAATGTTGCGTATCTGTCTACCCAGGCACCTGGGCCAGCAGCCACAGTACCATCCCCTCAAGCATGGGTTCCAGGAGTGGTTTGGATCCCCAAACTGCCACTTTGGTCCCTACAACGACGTCACCACTCCCAACATACCAGTCTATAAGAATTCCTCTATGGCTGGCCGGTCAGCTCCTCTGTGTGTGTGTCCCATGTCCCATGCAGTTTTTCCTTTAGGGTAGAGCCATGTCCATCCCTACTATAATTAACCCTCGGCGCGCATGCACAGTTAGGGTTACGGTACTTGGTTCGTGAGTGTGTGTCTGTCTGTTGGTTTGTCTGTTACCACGTTTTCTGCGACTACGTGCAACGAGGCATCATAATAGCGACACCAAAGGGTTTATCGATACACTGGCTTTATTTTTAAAATGGTGATTTCGTAAAAGTGCCGCGTTCTAAAGTTATGGTGTGAAAACCAAGTGAACATTAGTGGTACCGTGCATGCGCAGTTTGCCGAGGGTTTTCACTTTAGTGCTTTTCATTATGTATGTAGCTGATGACGCATACTTATCAGTGCTCACAAGTTGCACGTAAATTCCCTTGGAGAGCTAGTAATATCACCTAATTGCACACTTCTGTCATTGCAAACCTGTACCAACAATCACGCACATATGAAACTGATTGGCATATAAATGTATGTATTGGTGATGTTTCAAAAATCAGTCGTGTTCAAATGGCATATGTACATACAGCTCCCACTCTCTCAGTGTTTTCCCCCCACTTTTCCTGATTAACAACATTTACAGATATTACACCGACTTCCCTATCAACCGCTCGACTGGAGAGTCAAACCTGACCCAGCTGTACATCCAGGAAGCCGTGGACTTCATCCACAAGTCAGTTGGAGCTGGCTCTCCGTTCTTCCTCTACTGGACCCCAGACGCCACCCACGGGCCTCTCTATGCCTCCACGACCTTCCTGGGAACCAGCTCCAGGGGACTGTGAGCAAGGGAACTAATACAGAATTACCCTCAGTGTGCATTACTGCCTAGAAGGACAATTATGAAGGCCTTAATGTACATAAGCGCCTTTTGAATTGGAGGTAATGATCGAGTAAAGCCTACTCCTACAATTCCAACATTCCAACATCTTATGTGTATCACTATGATAAGTTTCCCTGTTCAATCCCCAGCACGGCCATTTCTTCTGCCACACCCTCTAGTACTTCTGACTAGTAGCTATCAATGTGAAGTAATAATGAACTGCACAAGTGTTTGTCGCATTTAAATGTACTGTTTGTTAGCAGACCAGCCACATCGCACAACATCTCGTAACAATTTTGCAACAGTATCTGGTCACAAATCGTGAGAGACTCTCTCTACTCCCCACCTGTCAGGTATGGAGATGCAGTGAGGGAGCTGGACTATGGAGTGGGAGTCATTCTCAAACTGCTGACTCAGCTGGGAGTGGCCAGTGACACTCTGGTCATATTCTCCTCTGATAACGGAGGGGCCACTTATGCCAAGGAGATGGGTATAATTATAGCGTTAAGTATAGTGTACATAAGTGGTGCTCTTGTCAATGTGTGGTTACTCTTTTTTGATGTGACATTCCTAGCATCAATAATCGGGCTGCAATAACTGGGCTCCTCTTGTTTTGACATGACATTCCTAGCAATAATAACTGGGCTACAACCAGTCATAAAGGGAAGCATTGTAATATGTACCCAAGCAAGCAGCTTAATCACCTGCCCGCTCTATACAGGAGGCAGTAATGGACCGTTTCTCTGTGGGAAAGAGACGACATTTGAAGGAGGAATGAGAGAACCAACCATTGCCTGGTGGCCAGGTCTGGTGGCATAACTATTACGACACTAAGGTTACCCTAACTTCCCTATGTCTAACTACTTCAGTTTCAAAGATGTGACTTCTAAACCATTCTATATAGCAATTTATTGTGACGTGCGTGGGCGATCAAAGCTGCTGCGCGTACTCTTATTTCCCGTATTGTAGACGCGTTCCAATATTGAACGTTCAATAAAAGAATTATTGAACTAGCATCGGTATCGTACCCATAGTGTAGACAAAAACTGTTCTGTAGAGGCTTTAGAGGCGAGGGATGACTGTTCTGTAGAGTCTGTAGAGGCGAGGGATGGCTGAGGCGACCACACCCCTTCATTCAGCTCAGTGGCAAGCGAGCACACACTGACCGGTCAAACGGCCCAGCGACCCATGAAACGAGTTTCTCTGAGGGAGAAAGAGCCACCATCACGACCTTGTTCGATTACCGTAGCCTGGAGAACAGAGAACTCGCTCGAGAAGCCAGCGAGTGCGCACGGTAGTAGGCTACACAGTCGTATTTCTCTCGCTAGAGGTCGACGACTGCTACAGAGTCACAATAAAACACATAATGTGCGTCCTATCGTTCTATACATGACTTATGGGAACTCGGGTTGTGGTCTCGACGACCACACCCCTCGTTCCCATAAATCACGTATAGAACTCTAAACGCACATTATCTCTTACATGTGTACATAGACTCACTGTTCTCGCGAATTTCATATAGCTTACATAGAGCACAGGCAGTATGTAGCCTAACAGTCTTCAGATGTGTGTAGACTTGCTAGCGTCAAGCCACAGACAATCATTACATCCTTTCACAATAAAGGGGGATGGTATAATATCAGGTTGGTTGTGTTGAGTCGGCATGTTCAGGTAAAAGGAAAAGGATACACTAACTACGTAGCTAACTAACTAACTTAGTTGTCAGTGTAGGTCGTAATCTGGAGGTGTGCCCACAGGGACAGTGGCTGGAGGTACTGTCAGCCATCAACTGGGCTCCATGATGGACTGGTTCAGTACTGCCCTAGACCTGGCCGAGATCAAGGAGCCGGACGACCGGATAATCGATGGGATGTCCCTTCTCCCGATTTTGGTCAATGGAACAGTGACAGACCGGTGCAGAACAATGCATTTCCCATGGGCACAGCATAGCTTACAGGGTGCACGTGAGCTCCCCTAGTCCCAGTGAAGTGTGTACTGCTGCTACTTACTTTTCCCTTGCCACTCTTGTCAAGTTTGCAGTTGCCTTTTCACCCTACTTTCAAGGGAATGTGACAGTACATAAGGGCTATATTATTATTAACTAAAGAGAGAACTGAACAATATGGCCCAAAAAATGCGGTGTCCGTTTTTCAGTAAAAGTTAGTCCTATACTGCCAAATGCCCGTTACTATCTGAATTTTCTCTCACCCTCAGTCCAATATTCTACTATCGTGGAGATGAACTGATGGCAGTTCGCTACCAGATGTACAAGGCACACTACTGGACCTGGACCAACTCTATCGATGAATTCAACCACGTTTGTTACTACACATCATTACTGCTGGAAACTTTTTGAGAGAGATAGCTTCATCCAAATAAGTTGTTCAGTGCCAACCGCAAACTTACTCCACACTAATATTATACATACTCCATGAAATTCTAGTTTGCCACAAAGTTTTCTCGCCTAGCGAAAGTTTTATCCCTTGAAAGTTTCCCATTGTACGGTTGCTGTACATACACATTTATCCTTCTAAAGGAGCTTAAACCAATTATGTCCCAAACATTTGTTCTGAGTTATTTATGGTTACATAATAATATGTTGCTAATGTGTGTGTGTGCAGGGAATTGACTTTTGTCCTGGAGAAGAGATTGTTAATGTAACCACCCATGACCAGGTATCTCAGCCGGTAGCTCATAACCATAGGCACAATCATGTACATGCAGTTGCTTAATCTCCTCAGAAGATATAAACTGTGGCCAAGTTTATTGTGTGATTATGTTAGTGTCATAGAGTCCTATTGTCGGGTGTGTGCAGGTAAACCACACCTCTCAGCCACTTCTATTCCACCTTGGCAGAGACCCAGGAGAAAAATACCTCATTAAGTAAGTCACGTGTGTCTGTGGGTGGCTATAACACAACCAAACCTTATTCTCTTTCTATCTTCTCTTTTGAAACTTCAAGGCCCAAGACTGCAGAGTACTTAGAAGCCATGAAGCTGATTCAGCCGATAGTTGATGAGCACCACAAGACACTGGTCAAAGGAGCTCCCCAACTCAACTACTGTGACCCTGCTGTCATGGTAACCACAGCACACCGCACACGTTATGAGGTTCTGCCATGCATTCTAGTGACAGATATCCTAGTATGATCGGTTGGAGCTGTCCCGTTTGTAACATTCTCAAAAGATGTTTCGAAAGATGTTGCCTATACATGTGCTTGAATTATCTACCACACCATGATTCAGTCTGCTCGTACATATTAATTAACCCTTTGACGCCATGGTATCTCCTTAAATAAGCAAAATTTTAACGCCTACAATTATATAAATTATTATGGACTTGCATATGGAGGCTCTGGGCATATGCCCGTGGCTGGCTAAGGGTTAAGTGGTGGGTTTCTGTGCCATGCATATGAGCACAAGGTTTGGGGTTTGCCTTTGCCTTGCCTTTGCACCCAGCCTGCTGAGCTGCCCTCAGCTCAGTGGTAGAGGTTTCTGTCTAGAGAACAGAGGGTCCTGATTTCAAGCCCCACCTAGTTGTGTTCATGCCCACTGATTCTTGATAAAATAGCCATACATTATGGCATAAGTTGTGCATGGCAAGATAGAGCATACATAATATAATATTTAGCTCCGTGTTGGCCCCTCTGTCTCTAGAACTGGGCTCCTCCAGGGTGTGAGGACCTGGACCAGTGTCTACCTGTGCCTCACCACGACCAGACTCTCTGCTACTGGCCACACTGACTGGCACTCTTTCTGTTTCTCTTACTGTCTAATTATTGGTAAATAAAATCATGATGAAATGCTTTGACACATACTACAGTGGCACCTCAAATAAGGGACCCTCCGAGTAGGCCTCCGAGTAGGCACAACCTATCTACAAAGGACACTCAGTGCATGAAATTATACAGTCGGACATCGGACATTTTCCCGGCAATTCAATAATCGTCCTGTTCCGCGCGCGTATAGCGCGTAGGCTAGCTAGCTACGCCTTCTTTCCCAGCCTCACTCCCACGCGCGGTCTGCGGTGAGGGCGTGGCTGAATAGCATGTGGCTTCTTAACTCAGCTAGAGTCCGCTGCAAGTCCGTGGAGATAATGAAGAGAGGTCTCCAAGCATCCTCCAGTGAGCCCTGACTAGATGACTTGGATGATTCGACGCAGGTTGACTGAGATTGACTCCGCAACTCATCTATTGTAGAATTAATATTACCATAACTTATTATTATGGCTGATCAACAGCGGAGAATATGGCAGAACAAAATTGATTGTGCTCTGTCCACAGACTTTTTGTGTCTAATTTCATGCACTGGACACTTGTTTCAACCCCATTCAATTATAGTATGTTAGTGTACAAGTAAATTGAAAAATTCTTCGAATTAAAAAGTGTGGAATATTATAGAGATGGTATAAAAAGCAAGGAGAAAAGACAGGGATGACCTAGTGTATGTGATGCAGTAGTACAATGGATAATGGCTCCATATTAATTTCAAGCTTTCTCGTAAATTTTATTTTTCCTCGACACAAGCCCTATATAATAATAATATTGTCACAAAGCGTGAGTATGTTGCTCGTATAATGTGCAGGCATGTCTCATTAATTCCTAAGCACATGAGACAGGTAACGCACAGCTCTCTGACAGCTCTTTGCATTGTTATTGAGTTGGGACTGCATAGTTCATGTTTGCTCAACTACAATGCGCATTCTTAGCCCTCTTACCAGTTCTCGCACTACATCATTCAGTATGTCACAAATAAGAGTGGCGATGATACAGGGCTTGTGTGGAGGGAAATTTTCATGAGCAATGAAATAATTATGGAGCCATTATCCATTTTTATCCACCATATTACAACTACACGCAAAAGCATGAATCTAGCAAAAGTCTTTCTCCAGCTTCTCTGCTAATCTTGTCTCATCAACAGATGCTGACTTCAACACAGTGACTATTGTCTTCCAAGTGTAGGGCAGATTCGCTGTTTGTTTCCACTGTTCAAGGACGGCAATGAAGCAATCGAAGGATTTATCTTCATCTTTCTCTATGGCCTTCCTTTCACTTCGGCTGAGATCCAACTGAATTGCTACTTCCTTCCACTTGTGGGGAATTACGGCTGCAACACGATTGGCAAGGTCTCGCATTATGGGGGCTGAGGTTCTCGATGGAGTAACACCTCCTATGTAAATGATGGCAGAATAATAATTATACCAAATCACATGCTAATATCTCACCTGTTCCACTAAGCCACAGGGTTTGGTCTGGAGTAAGATAGTTGAAAATGTCATAATTTACGGAGCATATCCACTTCCCGCCATTCTCTGAGAGATGTGCAGTGTGTAATCTAGTGCTACAAGACTTGTTCTGGTGAGGACAGAGAAAGGCAGGGACTGGACAAGATTTTTCGTGGTGAGTGTTCTCCAGACCTGCCTCGACTGCAGCAAACAGCTCTGACCTCACGGCCTGACAGTGCTCCACCATTTCCTTTCGCTCCATCTTCCTGGTGTCAACGTTAACGCAGGCAATGAAAAAGGAAAAGTTGTCGATGAATGTCACTGAGCCTGGTCTCCCATGTTTTGCAAATGTGATTGAGTTGCGAGAAGTCTGGCAGAGTTGCGTGTCGGATGTTTCTTCCTTGCCAGAAGGGGTGGGTGGTTTGTGGACAACCTCCCATCCAGTCTCGGACTGAAGGTGGCACACACTGCAGCAGTACACACCAGGAGGAGCCCAGCCAGTGGGGAACTTCACTACTAGAGGAGCTATCCCTGACTCTCTGCACCGGTCAAGGAACTGATTGACTCGAGACTCTGGGGTCATACTCAAGACTGCTGGGAAGAAGTATTCAGTGGGTGACAATCTGGAAATGATGAGGAGCTCCTTGAGCAGTTGTAGAAGATCACTTGCTGTGAAGATTCCATCCACATAGTGAGCCATGAATTCATTGAGACATTCGAGAGTGAGGATTCCACTGTCACGGAAGTTCTTCCACTGACCATCCATTGCCACACTAGTAGCTTTTGTTGGATCTGCCTCTGCAGCTTTCAGGTGGTATTGCTTCTCGATGAGCCTCGAGAGTTTGTCCACGGGGACTTGCGGATTGGTGAACACGACGTTGGGAAGAATGTTTTTCTTGTACAGGAAAATGTTGAGTTTGTCAAAGAAAGCTAGTGCAGTATCGAGTTCTCCCTCAACAAACCCCAGTGAATCTGAAATATGGAGGCACTCATCTTTGCTGAGCACTCTTCTTCCAAGCCTGTGAGCTAGTGCTTCTAGGATCATTTGAAGGATGAACCACCAGATTGGAATCTTGTGTTTTTTGCCACCCTTTTCAATGCTGGCTCTTATTTTACTGGCCTCTTTTTTGTCATCTTCGTCTGGCTTTTTTGTGTTGACTGGGAAGATTATCTCCTTCATGTCATCCTTTCTGAAAATCACATCTTTCTGAAAGTGAGGTGATGCAATTTCAGCTAATTTTTTGTTCTTTTCTTCTAATGTCTCTTCACAATCATCTGCTAAATCTCGGTGAGTGCCGACAGCAATGATCTTGGAGCGCTTTCCTTCTTTCCCTTCGTGCAGGCCTCGAAGCATTGTTTTGAAGGCCTCAGCAGTGGTGAGTGTGGCTCTCTGGCTGGGACCGACCTGTTTCCCTATCTCGTATAAATCGTTGCAAGGATGATCATCGAGCTTCTCGCAGAGCCGATTGACAAATAGTGTGGCTGATGTGTCACTTGCGAAGATTGGGATGAGGTCCCAGAATGGTTGCTGGCCACCAGTGTCAGTTAGGTAGATCAACTCCATGTCCAGGAGACGACGTGACCATTTCCCACTACCTACCAACTGTCGTCAGCTTCTTGATAACTCCATCCACCACCACTTTGCTGTCATCATGTAGGTTTCTTCTCTAGTTTCTGTGCCTTTTCTTCCTTCTTTCCTTCCCCAACATCACCCGTCCCCTCATCACTTTCCCCTCCCCCTGCCTCTTCTTCCTTCCCTGTGTCTGTGTCTTCCCTTCCTTCTGCCTCATTCCCTTCTCCCCCTCCCGCTACCTCTCCCTCCCCCAGTTCCAAGCTAGACAAAACTTCTTCCAGTGCTTCCATTCCTTTTCCTGTAGCTCTGAGTTCCTTATAAAGAACCGGAACTGCTTCTGCAATCATTTCCTGGAACTCTTTGGCTGAAATCTCGCTCCATTTTCCTCCCTCCTTGCCCACTCGTATCACTCGAATTGCTCGCTCAGCACAGCCAGTGCTGTGTCTTTTCTCTGGAGGAGCCTTTCCAAGGAGAAGGTATATGACACTGGTTTTGCCGACACCTGCAGGTCCCTCCACAATCACTTTCACCAGTGTCACCTCCACATAGCCCTGCTTCATGGCTTCTTCAAGGAATGCTTGCGCCTCTTCATCTGTAAGACGATAAAAGGGTCGGGCACATATGCATGGCAGTGATTCAAAAACCCTCAGGAAAACCAATTCAGGAAATCCTGAGTTAAGTTGGGGAGAGTGGATGTAGGTATATATTCATGATATGTATATTCATGCACTTAAAATTACTAATGAGGTGAAAAAATAAAGTGTTGAGGACTGGTGTGGCACTGGCACAGCGCTTAGCCTCTAGGCCACGCTGGTACGTATGAGCTTAGACCAAAAAAGTGCATACCACGCTATGCACGAACAATGCTCTCCTTCAACCATGGCCTGTGACTATTATTATTGTGAAGATGAGATCGCCAGTTGGTTAAGGAGAAAACGTCATTTACGAAAGAGCGAAGTTGAATAAGAGAGAGATGAATCAGTACTGTGAGTACAAAGACCTCCACGACGAGATGATTCGCACCTTCTCCACACCGAGGACGACAAAACTCCAGTGGCTACTGTCAACTTAGGAAAATGAAAGACCCTGTCAGTAGGAGGCAAGATAGTAGGCAAGACACCAACCACCAAAGTGTCAAAGATTATGTATATAACACACCTTCACATGTACGCAAACATTGTCCAGCAAGAGATTAAATTGCAACAGCTGCAGCAAGATAGAAGTCGAGCGATTTTCCGTGTATGTGGAATGTTGAGTTGTTCCTCGCGGCAAAGGGAGTGCCCGACTCCCGCAAGGTACCCCTATTTTTTTTAACTGTATTGGGGCTTACGCACTACTGCATAATCTGGTGGCACCCAACAGCCTAAAAGACGTAGCCTACTCAGACCTGGTGACAACGCTTCGCGCCAATTTCGAGCCCAAGCCGCTCATCACCGCTCAGCGTTTTCACTTCCATCGTCGCGATCAACAACCCGGCAAATCTATCGCGAGCTACCTAGCCGAGCTGCACTGTCTAGCATCTCAGTGTACTTTTCGAGGCGAGCAGCTTACCGAGGCGCTCAGGGATCGAGTGGTGTGTGGCTTGTCGAACCAAGCCATCCAGAAGCGCCTATTGTCAGAGCCAGACCCAACACTCGAGAAGGTCATGGAGATTGCCCAGAGCATGGAGGCCGCCGATGCCAATGCACGAGCCTTCATAAAACTGCAGAGCCTGCGCGCTCGTTGACAAAGGCACGCCAGCGCCCAAGACTAGCGGTGCTAGCGTCGGTCCCTGTTATCGTTGTGGTGGGACAACATGTGGTCATGTGGCTTCTGAGATGCCATCTGTCATAACTGCTGTAAACGGGGCCATATAAGGCGTGCCTGCCGAGGAAGGCGTAGGCTAGGCCAGCAGGCGTACAGAACGTGGAGGACAAACACCCTACAGATGATGGGGGAATCAAGCGGGTCTTTAGCAAGTCCTCGGCCGTATCAAGTTTGGTTGGGCCTCAATCAGAGTGTCCATGGAAGTGGACACAGGGGCGGCGGTGCCGCTGATGTTTTTGACTATCTTGGATCAGCTGTTCCCGAGTGAAAATTCTGTTCGACTCCACACCTACACAGCTCAGCCCCTCAGAGTACTGGGCCAAGCGACTGTTGAGGTCAAGTACATAGCCTACCGGGGAAGACACACTCTGACCATCGTGAAGGGAGATGGTCTGGCACTGATAGGACTAGACTGGCTACAGCACATCCATCTAGACTGGGCCAACATCTACTCCTTGGAGGTGGACACGCCAACTGCGAAGCTCGCTAAGCTACTGGACAGCTACGATACGGTGTTTCAGGAGGGCCTAGGAACCACGACACAGATCACAGCCCGTCTGTCCCTCAAAGAAGGGGCTGTACCCCAGTTTCGCCGTCCTTATTCAGTTCCATATTAGGGAGTCAGTGAAGAGAGAGCTGGATCGTCTGAAGGCATCCTCTGCAAGGTCGATTACAGTGACTGGGCAGCCCCAATAGTCGTTCCCAAGAAGGACAGAAAGCTCATGATTTGCGGCGATTACAAGATGTCAATTAACCCAGCTCTCCATGTGGACAAATATCCACTTCCTAATATGGAGGATCTACTGGCAAGCTTAGCGGGTGGAAAGCGTTTCACAAGTTGGACCTCACGGCAGCGTACCAACAGATGTGTCTGGATGAGCTGTCTTCAAAATTAACCACCATATCTACACACAAACGGCTCAATCGTTTCACCCGGATGCCCTTCGGAGTATCAACAGCTCCAGCAGAACAATGGACACCATCCTGCAAGGGCTACCTAATGTCATATACTATCTGGACGACATACTCGTTACGGGTCAGTCTGATGAACATCATCTACAGAACCTTGAGCAAGTGCTGGAGCGATTGAAGGCCCATCCGTCTCAAAAGGGAGTCCCGAGCATCTCAGAAGGGACAAGTGCAGTTTTTCCAAGATTCGGTGGAATACTTGGGCCAGGTGGTCACCAGCCAAGGAGTTCACACCTCCCCTGCCAAGGTTCAGGCAGTGACCGAAGCAGTCCGCACACCCACGGATGTGTCGGGGCTGAGATCGTATCTGGGCCTAATCAATTACTACTCGAAATATATCCCCAATCTCTCAGCTCTCCTGGCCCCACTCCATAAACTCCTACAGGCAGCAACCCTGGCGCTGGATAGAAGAATGCAATCGAGCATTTCTTGGCGGCAAATGAGAAAGTTACAAAAACTCCCAGTGCTGGCCCATTTCGACGGGGAACTGCCCTTATCCTTAGCAGCAGATGCATCGCCATATGGTCTGGGAGTGGTGATCTCGCACACAATGCCGGATGGTACTGACCGCCCATCGCTTATGCATCCCGTACCCAGTCCGGCGCTGAAAAGGAATATATTCAAGGAAAAGGAGGCTCTCTCCCTGGTGTTTGGCGAAATTTCACCAGTACCTGTATGGCCGGCGTTTCTTGCTGATCACGGACCACAAACCCCTCACAGCCATTATGGGTCCGAATCGAGGTGTGCCGCCGCTGCCAGCAACCTGGATGCAGAGATGGCCGGAACCTGAAGTTCCTGTGGACGCCTCCTTGCAGGGGAGAGCTCGTCTCAGCCAGAGCCTAACGGTGCATCCACTGACACCAGGCCCGATGCGGTGGCCACCGATACAGGATCCAAATCGACGTCAGACCCGTCGCGAGTATCGACTCTCTCGCCCAGTGCATCACCCCGTTCGTCAGTACCCACACCTCGATACCTACCTCGATCACGCAAGCCTCCGTACAGACTCATGTGTGTCCCTCTCTTCCCTCTCACTGACTTAGTTGAAGAGTAAGGAGGAGGAATGAAGTAGTATTGTTGATGCATGTTTACTGTGTGCTCTATCCTGAATGTGTACGACTTATGTAATCACTTCCTCGTGTATTTATCACCCTGTATGTTGTGATGTATCACCCTGTATGGTGCTGTAGGCATGCTGTAGTAGGCTCCGTGCGCATGCTCTGTTTGGTATATATAACTACGTGCTGTGTACTCATTGATCAGAGTTGCAATACACTACACTGACAAGTTCCAGTTCTCCTGCAAACAGCTACATTCCTCTATAGGAAGGACTTAAAGCTGATTCCAGCAAGCTTGTAGCTATCCAGAAAGTGGCAACTCCACAGAATGTCAGAGGTGTCTGTTACATTTTCCGGATGGTGAACAAGATGGGAAATTTTGTTCCCAACCATGCCGAGAATACAAAGGCACTTTGTGCACTAAGTGGATTAGGGAACCAGACAAACAGACAGAACTGCTTCGAGGAGCTAAAGAAACTCTTGACACCCAGTCTGATTGTAGTGTTGTATGACCCCTCACTCGAAACGATATCCTATCCTAATCTGTGGATGCATCTTCGTTTGGCCTGGGAGCCGTTCTGCTCAGAGACAGCCATCAGGAGACTTGAAACCTGTGGCGTATGTGTCACACCCTAGGATAACTGATATCTAGTATACACATCAAAGCATGCTGCAAGCTTTCGGTGGCTGAAGGTTTCGGTAGTGTGGAAGCAGGATCATCATCTGTTGCACCAGGACATCCCCCAACGTATTCACACGGAACACCAAGGCCTGGTTTAGCGACAGAGCTGGTAAAAAAAACTGTGACACATGCTACACTGGAAACTCAGCTACTCATCCCATCCTCTTTCCCTCAGCTCCCCTGGCAAAAAAGCTTTGCGCAGATTTGTTTGAATACGTTTGAAACTGTTCTCTCTGGCAAACTGCTTGTATATCTCGGCATGGAACTATAGGACACCACCACCTCTGGAATGCCATACCTTGCAAAAAAATGCCTTTGTGAGGGGAGTTCCAGATGATGTGTTGGCTAGGAGAGCCATTGAAGATGATAAGATAATGTCTATGCTTGCAGCTCCTACAACTGACAGGGACACGAGGAAGCGGAGCAAGCTGTGGTCACTATCAAGAGACTGCTACAAATGGAAAAGGAGTCATACCTTCCCCTGTTAGCCTATCGACCAACTCCAATGAAGATTGGCTACTCTCCAGCCGAAATGCTAAGTTCACACAAACTGCACAGTGCCAATTTACACGTGAACCATCAGTCTGGGACTACATACTCTCAACTCAAGGCTAGAGATAAAAAGGTCAAAGATTGTCAGAATGCAACCACGACAAGCGTCAGCAAGCTCATCGCTGCAATCTGGAGACATAATGGAGATAATGTGTAGATTTCACAAACCAATATATACAAGGGTACGGTAGTTACCCTCGGCGCGCATGCGCAGCGAGGGTACTGTAGTTGGGTCTGTCTGTCTGTTACTCTCAATCTCACTTCTCCGGTGTTTGTTCGTCTCAGAAAGGACACGATCTACTTAACGGGCAATGAAGGTCAGAATGTTCGAACAGTTTTCTCTGAAAATGCTCCGTTGCAAAGCTAGGGCGCATCCACCATTGTACGGCTAATGCTGGTAGACACCATTTTATCGCTCCGCTCCGGAAAATGCGCATGCGCTTATATCCAGCACAGGCTTACCTCGACGGGTCCGCTTGCTCTGTGTATCTTGAAGGCACAAGAAGTCACAACGAATGGCGTGTATCGATTCTTGCATGCTATCTATTAGCCCGTGTCAGACTCTCTGCGAGCTACTAGCGGGAGACAGCGAGTAAACGCACACTAATAGTCCAGCCCATCAATTAGCGGTAGGCCACACATGTGCAGTTCGCCGAGGGTTTGCACTTTCATTACCCTCGGCACGCATGCACAGCGAGGGTACTGTAGTTGGGTTTGTCTGTCTGTGTGTCTGTTACTCTCAATCTCACTTCTCGAATGTCTGTTCGTCTCACAAACGATACGACCTACTTAACGGGCAATGAAGGTCAGAAATTTCGAACGGTTTTCTCTGAAAAATGCTCCGTTGCAAAGTTAGAGCGCTTCCGCCATTGTACGGCTAATGCTAGTCGGCCATTTTTTTTTTATCGCTGCGGAAAATGCGCATACGCATTATATTCGACCACGTGGTGTAAAGCGGGCATTTTCTTTATCGTTCCCTGTCTCCAGGTCTATGCCTCCAAGTAAGGTATGTCCATAGTTTGAAACCATTGTACCACTAGGGCTGAAAGTGTGTAAATCTTGCCAACATGTCTTTCGAGCCAAGAGAAAAGCAGAGCATAATTTGCCAGACAAAGCCATGAAACGCATACGAGTCTTACAGTCAGATAGTGTCAAATCAGCTATGAAGGCTAAAGATATGTTGCAGAAGGCCAGTAAAAGAGCATCAGAAACTAACGAGCAAACTGTGCATAGACAACTGCAGAATAGAAAGCACATGGCAAGCATGAGAGCAGCTGAAACTAGCGAGCAAACTGTGAATAGGCCGCTTACAAACCCTTGAGTATGGGGCGTGGATATAAGCATTGGATGAGGGGTGTCAAGCCTTGAATCAAGTGAATATTTTAAGTGACCAAGTTTGGGGTGTGGGAGTAAGTGACAAAGCTTCCATGTGCTTACTTACTATATATATGTTATGTACTACGTGCGAGGGTCATACCGGATTTCAATGAACCCGAGGGCCTCCGCGTTTGTAGTGTCCCGAGCGCAGCGAGGGCACTACGCGGATGGCCCGAGGGTTCATTGAAATCCGGTATGTCCCGAGTATACGGAGTACATAACATGTTTAGTGCAGAGCAAATCAGCTCCGTATACGCGCACTGCCGCGTTTCCAAGCACAGGGAATTTGAAAGATGCGAGAAAGAGACGAGAGCGCAAGACCGTCATCTTGTGCGGGACTATTGAACGCCGAACGCTAGGATACGCTGCTCCGCCGCTCTAGCTACTCCCGCTGCGGGACTGTCCTCCCGCCACTTATCCGAAGAAACGCGACAGGAGACCTGCGCGAACCATCGCAATCAGAGAGAGGCGAATTCAGGCGCTGTGCGGGCGGCTATACCGAAGGCGGTGGTTTGTGGCGGGCGTGAACTGCCTGGCTATCTATGTATATACATGGCAAGGAGGGAGATGGGCTCAAAGCAGACACAGAAAACTGTCTCGTGGAAAAAGAAAATCAAGATATCAGTTATTTTGATCAACATTTTGTACAGATCATGTTTTGCGGCATACATTTCTTACATGAAATGCTGTTGAACTTGCTGAAAATCAACAGAAAAAACAAGGTTTCATATCATGTTTTCATGTTACTTTTGTTAGCTCACGAGGTTCATATGAGAAATCAGGAACCTCGTACTAACAAATCTGATTGGTCAATTCGAATCAGCTATGCACTAAGATGAGAAACTAAACCCAGCCCATCAATTAGTGGTACGGCGCATGCGTTTACTTACGCGTGCGCGTCACAGTGTGCCGAGGGTTTGCACTTCAGTGCTTTTCATTGGGTCTGTGTGTCTGTCTGTCTGTTACTCAACATCTCACTTCTCCAATGTTCGTTCGTCTCACAAACGATATGACTTACTTAACGGCCAATGAAGGTCAGAATGTTCGAGTGGTTTTCTCTGAAAATGCTCCGTTGCAAAGCTAGAGCGCGAAAAAGCCGATATGCGAAATACAGTGTCAGACTCTGCGCGAGCTGGCAAGAGACCACGAGTAACAGCTAAAACTAAACCCAGCCCATCAATTAGTGGTATGGCGCATGCGCTTACTTACACGTGCGTGTCACAATGCGCCGAGGGTTTTTGCACTTCAGTGTAAATGTTACGTGTTTTATCCCACTAAAATGGAGTAGCACCGCAAGCACAGGCACCTAATTTGTGTCAGAGCAAAATATATAACACTACACTAGCTATGGCTGTAAAAAGTTTGACAACAGTCCTTGATAAAACCATTGGCACAAACTTCCCCATTCAAATTCACTACCTTTTTGAAGAGGGTTTCAGGTGCTATTCATTGTCTATGTATGTGCTCTTACCAGAGGTCATTTCCCACTCTCCAAGTTCTGGGGGGAAATTCTCATACGGGGTTTGGCTGGACGCTCTTTGCCCTTCCCAGTCTCTACTAGAGGGAGGGCTTGAATCCCGAGGGGGTCTCTCAAGAAGGACTTCCACACAGTTGAAAGGAAAAATGCCCTCCCTCCCATTAATTCGACCGCGCCAATAGCCACGGACTTTCATATCCTCCCCCAGCACTTCCACCACCTGCAAGGAGAGCAAGGCACCCTATGTACATCTCCTGCAGACTGTCTTTCTCATTCTCACCTGACCAGGCTCTAGTGACAGCTCATCAGACTCATCTGCCTCGAACTTAAACAACACCTTTGCTTTCCTGACTCTGTTTGCCTGACCTGAGTCCAGGTAGTGGATGAGATAAATGTATGTTAGTCAATCCTCTAGGTACCTTTACATACCTGAACCACATGCTAAAAGCCACAATGCACTATAGCCCAGTAGCACAACTCTGACACATAAAACATGAACATAGCAGGCTTGCCACTATATAGCAACTGCACAATCCATGTGGAACATACCTATATACATATACGCTACAGTACAGAATGGAAGCCACTGGAAAATTCTTAATAATTAACTGCATGGATGTGGGTGCTCATTGGTCAAAGCAGGAAACTGTTTCAATGCTTTCTATTGAGTATAATATCCAGACATGAATCACATGTGAGGTATACAAGTGCAAAGCAAACAATTCAACGACATCCAGGACCACAATTTAAAAAAGTAAGTGGGACTCAAACCCACGACACTCTGCAGTCTAGGCAAGTATATACATCCTACCAACTAATAAGTGATTTGTTTTTGTGAATACAGAGAGTAGGAAACCTAGTGACTCATTACCCCATCCTGTGAAGAAAGTGACTAGTGCTAGGGAAGTATGTTTATACTGGTGTTACTGCACATGGCTACTTCTGCACTATTGTACTGCTGAATCTAGTTTCTTTCCATTGTCATTCTGCTGCCCACTCGACTGCACATTCTGTTGCCAATCCCTTCCCTCAAAAAGGGGAGAGGGGCAACACGCTAATCCAGGAAACTACGAGGTTGCCGTCGTCCAGTCCAGCAGGAAGTGGTCGGTATTACCACACCCTCTCTGGGGTGTTCCCCCTTTCAGAGGCTACTACACCACCCTATGTGTGGCGGTCTTGGGAATTCACACATTCTATGCCCAGGATGCTACACATGTGGGAACCCCCTCATAACACATACGTAAGAGACATGCTTTGCATGAGTAACTTTTAAAAGTGCATACATACTTGGTGGTTTAGGTAGCTCCACTTCCTTGTAAAGCTCTGTAGGTGGAGATAATTATGTTAATCCATGGTTTATGGAATACATAATGATATCCGGGGTGCTCATGACTTGGGAAGAGCCCATCACACCTAAGAACCAAGGGTATTTCTCTTCCACTTTCTACATAGTTATGAAAATGAAAATAATTCAGTGTTGGCATAGTAACCTTAATTTCTGCGGGATTGTGTACAGCTGTGCTTTTGCGTTCAGTCATCGTGAGCACAGGCTACCTCAATGTATACAAACATGCCTGTGATAACACCAGTGGCATTTCTCCCCAAGAAGGGGCAGTATTTCATGAGGCAATCGACCCCGACTTCTGTGTTTTATGCAAGACTGTAGACATATTTCCCCTAACGTTGTTGTGCTTTTACTAAGTAGCTAAATACCACCCCAGAGAAAAAGGCACTGCACTATCTGAAATGTCATTTCACTGGTAGTGAAAGTTGCTGTTTTGCTTTGGTTTAGACAACTCCGATGTCTCAAGGCTCTGATGCCTCGAGGGTCTCCATGAAAAGACGCTCTCACCCACTGACAGAGACCACTGCACTGCTATTAGGCCCCGTGGTTTTCTACCCAACAAAAATTGCTGAGCCTGTACACTGTGCAAGCATAAGCACTACGTATTTGCGTTGTGGGTGCTGGTATATTAACACTCAGCGGGGAAACTTTAAAGCCAGGCCACAGAAGCGCATGCTATGCAAAATATGCGTACATGTAATGTTAGTTTATGTCCCGTAACTGAGATTACACTACAGGTACCCCTTCGTTAAATGTCGGATTGTAAGAATGGGGATGTATAGAGATGCCTGTAAAAACTAGGGAAACAAGGAAAAGCTTGTACTGAAACAGACAGTCACGAGTAAATTCCCTTACACCCTTGTTCATTTAGTACGGAACAGGTACAGCTATACGGTTAAAGGGAGATTGTGACATCCATACAACCCCCCTAAAATTTTAATAACCTGTGCCCAATAACAAAGTTTAAAGTCTTGCATGAAGAGAATATTAAATATGATTGGCTTGCCGTTTTTTTGGAGTATCTATGGTGGTCGACTATTTCCCAAGGCAGTACGCTCTCTGTCTTAGTTGCAAGCCCCAATCTCGATCATCCATTACATGCAGAAACGAGTTGTCTTACCTAGATATTTTCCCCTTGTACAAGCTACGTAGCAGCTCGGATCACCATCAACGCACACTCACTTAGCCTTAACTCCAGAATCTTGCTCTACCGAATAGAGCTACCTACCATGATGACAACTCAACGTTTAACCTCCTGGGCTGTCGCGGTTACACCAACAACATACGGACAGTCAGACACTTACAGTACACACACAGACCAACACCCCCATGGTGTGCACATGGGTTAGCAACCAACATATCAAAAACATTTGGCACCAATTGCAACAAACAAAGTGGAGTAAGAAATTGACACAAGGGTCGGTGGAGAAAACTAATACCACAGCAGCTTATGGGGTGGTATTCGTGGCAGTATTTCAAAAGTCGATTTTGCCAAGGCGTTTCCGTTTTGCCGCGGCAATTGCCCCAGCAAAACCTGGGCCGAAAAATCCGGGACATTTGCCGCGGCAAGAATAACTAGCTGGGCCATGTTGAATCGTGTCAGTATTCTTGTCGTTGTCGGGCCTTTTGCCGCGGCAAAAGTGCTTTGCCGCGGCAATTGCCCAATCGCGAAATATTGTGCCGCGGCAAAAGGCCCGGCAACGGCAAAAATACTGACACGATTGAACATGGCCCAGCTAGTTATTCTTGCCGCGGCAAATGTCCCAGATTTTTCGGCCCAGGTTTTGCTGGGGCAATTGCCGCGGCAGTTTCATTTTGCCGCGGCAAAACGGAAATGCCGTGGCAAAATCGACTTTTGAAATACTGACACGAACATCGCAGCTCCACCCACAAGGGGAAGGATCAGATTGTCTGGTTGCTTTTGGTACAAAACCTGGTACTGAGACGTCATATCCTTCGTATCCGAACCGCTCTTCTAGTATGTATTGCACACAAGGCCCGCCTTTAAAAATCTGCGGACTACGGATGCACGTTGACATTGATTAGATGTTGTGTGATATGATTTGAGATCTCGTGTTCAAGATCTAGGACCAAGAGATGTGTTGATAGTTACCAGACACCTTTCCACATTATGAGTGGGGATCTGGCATGATACAATCTCATTGCACTTTTCTGCCACAGCTGTTAATTAATTACAGTAGCCCCAGCTTGAATATAAATGGAACTTTTGGTGGTTACAGTGCGACTGTTTCCGCTAAGAAAATGCCCCGGATATTTGCCGGGGCTACTGCTGTGGCAGATGTCCCAGAATAGCATAATATGAATACTGGCACTGATTCCACTGGCCTGGTAAATCCATTCCTGTATTCCTAGAACCTGGAAGTAGGATTAAAAGAAGGGTATATAGTGATCACATATCCTTACAAACGTCAATGCCTGTACTGAAACAGATAAGTTATATCCATTAATTGATAACAGCAATACATAAAGTGCAAACCCTCGGCGAACTGCGCATGCACGGTACCGCTAAAATGATGGGCTGGGCTATTAGTATGCGTTTACTCGCGGTCTCCCGCTAGTAGCTCGCAGAGAGTCTGACACGGGCTAGCTACAGTAGTACTAGATAGCATGCGGGAGTCGATACACGCCCTCCTTTGTGTCTTCTTGTGCCTTAAAGATACACAGAGCAAGCTGACCCGGTTGAGGTGGTAAGCCTGTGCTAATTAGCAATTGGCTTGTTCCTGGTTCTCACACCATAACTTTAGAATGCAGTACTCTTATGATATTCGCCAAATTTAAAATAAAGCCAGTGTAGTGCTGAACCCTTTGGCATCGCTCTTTTGTTGTCCCGTTGCGTGTGGTGGCAGAAAATGTGGTAACAGACACACGGACGGACGGATGGAAGGACACACAAACTAACAAACCAAGTACAGTAACCCTCGCTGCACATGGGCGCCGAGGGTTAATCAAGCTGACACAAGATACAGTTGCACATGGAAATGCTGTACTGAAACAGAAAGTGATCCACAACTTGATCCCTGTATCTTTATTCAGATTATGGAAACAAAACGGATACGTAAGTAGTGCATTTTTGGAACAAGTTACACATGCACGGCATTATTAAATGAAAGCACTAAAGTGCAAACCCTCGACGCAAGAAGCATCCCCACTAGGCCTGTGGTTTCTTTTGTGTTAACTTACAGTTCACACTCACATACCTGGTTGTATATGAACAGGGTCGTAATATTCGTCAAAAGGACCTGGAAGTAAGATGATAAGAAGGGGGATGACAAACAAGCAAATGTCTGTATTTCCTGAAACAAAGCAATCCAACTTTATCCTTACATTTTTGTTAATCGTTGTGGAAACAACACTTATTTATTTAATGATGGAATTATAATTACTTTCTGTTACCATGATCCCAAATCTCTTGTTTTTCATGATGTGGCATTCCTATACCCTCATTTACACCATTAAAAACCCATCAAAAAAGTAGAATAACCAAACCCCCAAATTAAACTGGACCAATAAAGTGCAATTGACAAAAGGCTCAGTGCAGCAAAAATGCCAGGTTCTTGTACCCCCACAATTTCCCTTGAATTAACAAGCTGTGATCACAGTAGCCCCAGCCTCAATGCATACATACTTCTATAATATGGGGATTCTATTTGTAGCCATGGCAATGTAAATTAATGCTGTTGACATACTACTGCAGTTATAGCTCTAAATTAGTGTTTAGTGATTCCAGGGAAACTTGCAGAGGCCGCTTACATATGAACACAAAGAAAAGTGATAGGTGTGTGATTTCACAAGCAAGATGACATAGCACATAATTTGCGAGAAAATAACAGGAAATTATGTGCTATGTTATCTTGCTTGTGAAATCTAAGTTTTTGCTTTTGCGTTCTGTCATCGTGAGCGTTTCGGACCGCACAGACTACCTCAATGTATATAAACACGAAAAAGGCACCTGTGATAACAGCAGTGGCATTTCTCCTCAAGAAAGGGCCAGTGTTTCATGAGGCAATCGACCCCGACTCCTGTGTTCTATGCAAGACTGTACTGCCCGTAGACATATTATTTTCCCTAACGTTGTTGTGCTTCTACTAAGTAGGTAAATACCTCCCCAGAGAAAAAGGCACTATCTGAAATGTCATTTCACTGGTAGTGAAAGTTGCTGTTTTACTTTGGTTTAGACAACTCCGATGTCTCAAGGCTCTGATGCCTCGAGGGTCTCCATGAAAAGACGCTCTCACCCACTGACAGAGACCACTGCACTGCTATTAGGCCCCGTGGTTTTCTACCCAATGAAAATTGCTGAGCCTGTACACTGTGCAAGCATAAGCACTACGTATTTGCGTTGTGGGTGCTGGTATATTAACACTCAGCGTGGAAACTTTAAAGCCAGGCCACAGAAGCGCATGCTATGCAAAATATGCGTACATGTAATGTTAGTTTATATCCCGTAACTGAGATTACACTACAGGTACCCCTTCGTTAAATGTCGGATTGTAAGAATGGGGATGTATAGAGATGCTTGTAAAAACTAGGGAAACAAGGAAAAGCTTGTACTGAAACAGACAGTCACGAGTAAATTCCCTTACACCCTTGTTCATTTAGTACGGAACAGGTACAGCTATACGGTTAAAGGGAGATTGTGACATCCATACAACCCCCCTAAAATTTGAATAACCCGTGCCCAATAACAAAGTTCAAAGTCTTGCATGAAGAGAATATTAAAGGGTATAAACCCTAAGAGCCCGAGCTTTATTTTTTCAATGCCTATTAATGGTATTCATGATATTTAGCAGTGGCTTGCTGTTTTTTTGGAGTATATATCTATGGTGGTCGACTATTTCCCAAGGCAGTAGCGCTCTCTGTCTTAGTTGCAAGCCCCAATCTCGATCATCCATTACATGCAGAAACGAGTTGTCTTACCTAGATATTTTCCCCTTGTACAAGCTACGTGGCAGTTCGGATCACCATCAACGCACACTCACTTAGCCTTAAGTCCAGAATCTTGCTCTACCGAATATAGCTACCTACCATGATGACAACTCAACGTTTAACCTCCTGGGCTGCCGCGGTTACACCAACAACATACGGACAGTCAGACACTTACACATGGGTTAGCAACCGACATCAAAAACATTTGGCACCAATTGCAATAAACAAAAGTGGAGTAAAAAATTGACACAAGGGTCGGTGGAGAAAACTAATAACACAGCAGCTCCACCCACAAGGGGAAGGATCAGATTGTCTGGTTGCTTTTGGCACAAAACCTGGTACTGAGACCTCATATCCGTAGTATCCGAACCGCTCTTCTAGTATGTATTGCACACGAGGCCCGCCTTTAAAAATCTGCGGACTACGGATGCACGTTGACATTGATTAGATGTTCTGTGATATGATTTGAGATCTCGTGTTCAAGATCTAGGACCAAGAAATGTGTTGATGTAGTTACCAGAGACCCCTTTTTCCACATTCTGAGTGGGGGTCTGGCATGATACAATCTCATTGCACTTTTCTGCCACAGCTGTTAATTAATTACAGTAGCCCCAGCTTGAATATAAATGGAACTTTTGGTGGTTACAGTGTGACTGTTTCAGCTAAGAAAATGCCCCGGATATTTGCTGGGGCTACTGTTGTGGCAGATGTCCCACAATAGCATAATTATGAATACTGGCACTGATTCCACTGACCTGGTACATCCATTCCTTTATTGTCATAACCTGGAAGTAGGATTAAAAGAAGGGTATATAGTGATCACATATCCTTACAAACGTCAATGCCTGTACTGAAACAGATAAGTTATATCCATTAATTGATAACAGCAATACATAAAGTGCAAACCCTCGGCGAACTGCGCATGCACGGTACCGCTAAATGATGGGCTGGGCTATTAGTATGCGTTTACTCGCGGTCTCCCGCTAGTAGCTCACAGAGAGTCTGACACGGGCTAGCTATAGTAGTAGATAGCATGCGGGAGTCGATACACACCATTCGTTGTGACATCTTGTGCCTTAAAGATACACAGAGCAAGCAGACCCGGTCGAGGTGGTAAGCCTGTGCTAATTAGCAATTGGCTTGTTCCTGGTTCTCACGGCATAACTTTAAAATGCACTACTCTTATGATATTCGCCAAATAAAGCCAGTGTAGTGCTGATTCCTTTGGCATCGCTCTTTTGTTGTCTCGTTGCACGTGGTGGCAGAAAATGTGGTAACAGACGGATGGACGGACGGACGGAAGGACACACAAACTAACAAACCAAGTATAGTAACCCTCGCTGCACATGCGTGCCGAGGGTTAATCAAGCTAACACATGCTAGAGTTGCACATAGAAATGCTGTGTTGAAACAGAAAGTGATCCACAACTTGATCCCTGTATCTTTGTTCAGATCATAGAATATGCATTTTTTGGCAGCAGTTACAGACCTTTTTCCACCTTATGACTGGGAGGGTCTTGGAAAGAGACTACAATGAAATCCCAATTAGTTAATTGTTTATGCTACAGCTGTTAGTGACAGTAGCCCCAGCTGGAATGATAATTGAAATTCTGAGGCAAAATAATGGCAATTTCGGCAGTTCCAGTGTGCTTTTTTCCTGCTAACAAAATGCCTGTACTGAAACAGATATGTGATCAAAAACTTGATAAAAGAAATAACTAAGATGGACATGCAAGCTAACACAAGATACAGTTGCACATGGAAATGCTGTACTGAAACAGAAAGTGATCCACAACTTGATCTCTGTATCTTTGTTCAGGTTATGGAAACAGAATGGATAAGTAGTGCATTTTTGGAACAAGTTACACATGCACGGCATTATTAGCACTAAAGTGCAAACCCTAGACGCAAGAAGCATCCACACTAGGCCTGTGGTTTCTTTTGTGTTAACTTAGTTCACACTCACATACCTGAAAAAGGGTCATATTGGGTAGAACCTGGACCTGAAAGACATGGAAGTAAGATGATAAGAAGGGGGATGACAAACAAGAAAATGTCTGTATTTCCTGAAACAAAGCAATCCAACTTTATCCCTACATTTTTGTTAATCGTTGTGGAAACAACACTTATTTATAAATATGGCATTATAATTACTTTCTGTTTTGGTACCATAATCCCAATTATCTTGTTTTTCATGATGTGGCGTTCCTCATTCACACCATAACCAAAAAAGTAGAATAACAAAATCCCACAAATTACCAATAAAGTGCTATTGACAAAAGGCTCAGTGCAGCAAAAAAATGTCAGGTTCTCATACCCCCGCAATTTCACTTGAATTAAAAAGCTGTGATCACAGTAGCCCCAGCCTCAATGCATACATTACCATTATCATATATGTCTTCTCCGGAAGCTGACTCTGTGGGTGTGACAAGGGGTGGGGTCTCGGTGGCTTGTGGGTGGGTGAAGTCGAGAAGTTGCACATAGTTGAGGGGGATGTATCCCTCGTTTTCTCCAATTCGACCTTGACCCCATCCGTCACCTTCATCCGACAGCACATCCACTATCTGCAGGGTATAATACACTAGTGACTATAGTCATAGGGCCACTATACCTCTCACCTGTCCGGGCTCCAGTGATATCTCATCAGAACCCTCTGCTTCGAATCTGTACAATACCCTGCCTCTCTGGCCCTTGGGCATCTCACCTGAGTCCAATCACAACGAAGATGTGAGAGAGTGTGACGGTAGGGCAAGGGCGTAGGCGCTGTGGGGGCTTTGGGCCCCAGTTTTTAGCCCACAGTTAATTAATACTATACGGGCGTGCACTGGCGCGCAACTTGTGCGTGGTGGAAAACTATGATTAACCCCCCCGCCCCACCTACAGGGCTGGGATACATACATATATACCGGTATCTGTGGACTCTCCGGAAGCTGGCTCTGTGGGGGGTGTGGTCTTTTCAGATTGTTGTTCTCTCTCAGCTGGAGAGGGCACATCTTCTGTGGTTGGCCTCATCTTCACAAAGTTGTCAGGAAACACCCCCCTCTCCCCATCCTTGGTCCCCTCACACCAGCCGTGATACACCTGAAGAGAGAGAGGGAGGAGGGGGTGGGGATAGAGGAGGGGGTTTAATTAATGCATGGAACAGAGAGAATACAGAAACAGAAGAAGTTATACCCAGTGACCGTGACTGCACTTGTTTGTAATACGCACACAGGCAGCAAATTTTCTGTAACTTTGTACTTATTAAGAGTGTAGTTGCCACCCCTCTGTTGGGCACACTTTCCTTAATTTGTCGTAACGGTCCATGAATTCCATTATACTCAAAAGGAACGCCCAGAAGTCGAGGAATCCCATAAATTCCATAAACAATGCTTAGTTCAATTATACGATTATACGTACCCATTTATTGCCGTATTCTCCCCATGGCACATTCGTATATGTACACAGCCTGCCAGTGCGTCAACCGCAGTTTACAAAACAATTGATGAAGAGTTTGTGGTTGTTATAAGCTTTTAGACGTATCAGCACAGATATATAGAGAGTAACTGCATGCAGCTAGAGAAGGGTTTCCTGTGATCTCATCACGACAAGACGGAGCTACAGCCTCCCATGGTGGACAGTGGACAAGGTATATACAAGTGAGGCAGACCTTACAGTGTACATTTAGGATGCTTTTAGCTCCACTGGAGGCTTGGTAAACACTCTCTGAGGAATTTTGGGCTTTTGTAAAATGGAACATCTTACGGAGATTTTACGGAATATCTCGCGCATGTGTGATTGTGCTAGGCAAATGAAAGGGTTTGGGAACAAGGCTAACTCATAGAATCTGGCCCGGCAACTCTGAGTTATCAAAATGCCACAGCTGTGCTAATCATGGGCTACACCAACAAAAGCAATTACAGTGATCAGCATTAGGAACCCTCGCATAGTACTATATGAACCGCTGAATCGGAAGCCAAATCATCTGAAACCTTTACGTTTCCGGCTAGCACACAGCTCTCTCCTTCTAAGACAAGACACCACACGAATACGAATGTACCTGTGTGACATTGGTAATGACCTCTCCAACCTTGAGATTCAGCTCATCGCCTTGCTGTTTCTCATAGTCATACAAAACCACCGCCTCCATCGGACTGCCGTGTGCGTCCCGAGTTAGTTTTGTATATACACCTTATAGCTTACCGATTGAGCGGATATGACGTCATTTTATTCGCATTAAATACCGCAGTGGTGGTGGAACTGCGTGCTCGACCGCGGTCGGACAGACTTCGTCGTGGAAGGTCTGAGCCGGAGCCGGAGCCGGAGCCACGAGCCATCCGCAGGCGTCCGTTGCTCAAGAACTACGGGGTATTATTGCAGATGGCCCTGGAGGACCCGGAACTCTTGCGTGCGAGCTGACCCCGAGCTGACCTGGCAGAGGAGCTTGCTTGGAGAAAACTTCGTTGAACCCTCAGCCGATGCCCGGGGCAGCGAAGGGAGAGAGCGAGGGACAGAGGCGCAAAGGGGACAGCGAGCGTGACTGGTACCGAAGGGAGCGCGACCAGGACTGATCCTCCGCTCTCGACTGGAAGCGCGTTCTTCCGACGCGGCGGCGACCGTGAGTTGCGTGAGTCTTACGGGGAGCGTGACTGGAACTGGCGCTACATTTCGTAGTGTGGACAGCGAGGGAGCAGAAGCACAGAGCCTGTGGTAGCATTGTGAGTGCAGATGGCCCTGGGATTATAGCCCGCCCTCTTCGTGGGCAGCTTATCGCTGATACCGCTAATAGTGTTAGTGGCGCGACTAGTGTTGAAAACAGTGACGTTGGGAGTGGTAAGCAGTTGACTCAGTTACAAACTGCTGGGGTAGCTGCCGGGACAAGGGCCAAGTCTTTTCCTCTTCCCTATTTTCTACTGAATCTTCCTTTGAGTCAGCCTGAGAAATCCCAAGGAAAGGCACTATCTGAGAAAGCTAGTCACTTGGAACCCAGGCAATGAAAATCCCAACTTTGCCAGGGTGGAAGTTGTAGCGCATGGCATGTGCGTCATTATAGGATGTGAACAGGTTTGCACAGTACATTCACACATTGTATTGGAATATCAAGGCCAATATTTGTGCAATTTTTTGAAGCTCTTATACAGATAAATTGTAATGCTATCCCAATACTTGAGACTTTCTACATAAGTTGACCATTATTAGGGCTCACCTCAACACTAGTGTGGTCTCTTAAAGAGGGGCCTACAGTATGTAGGTATTAATATTTTGTATGTGGCTGACCACACAATACAGACCACTCTGGAACAGGCCTATACGAGGAACGGGCGGAACCTGATGTTGCCATGGAGACCGGAGTCATTGCCGTGGAAATGAAAGAGGGTGGAAGAGAGGGGGCTGGTGAAGACGACGATGAAGTGTCAGGGTCTCAGAATCATGACAGTAAATAACTGCAAGTTCTGACAGATTTTCGACACACTTCACCTCCTTGTTCTTCTTCCTCGACCTCTCAGGTCGTTCCAACACTTCATTAGAGAGGGAGGTGATGGCTGTAGTGACCAGTCACGTGATGTTCCAGTGGTCCCGCCTTCTCCGACCAACCTACTCTCCCCGAGTACGAAGTATAGCATATTGAAACGTGAAAAAAGGACCCTCCATAGGACACCTGTATAAAGGACACTTGGTTCTGTCCCTTAGTGAGACATTAGTGCATTATATCAACACCAAAAAAGAGATATCAGAAATATTTCAGTGTCCCCAAGGTTCAGAGGTTTCACTGTATTCCATTCTCCATTCTCTATTCCCCCATTTCAGATATCGATCAGTATAACGCCAACTGTGTCCACAACCTATGTATACCAGACCGACTATACCGGACTATAATAACAGGGTGAGTCCCTAATGATGGAGGGTATGAGTGTATGGAATAACTGGAACCAAACTCTGCAGGGCACCTCGGAGTCGCTACGTCCCTATTCCGTACTACAGATCGACCTCTCTCACAACACCTGTAAGTTACTGCTAATATACAGCAGAACCCCTCTCTAAGGACACCCTTGAAATGAGGACACCTCTCTAAGGACACCCTTGAAACGAGGACACCTCTAATACGGACATCATTTACTTTCCCAAAGAACAGTGTTCTTGCATGCAATTTAACCCCTGAAATAAGGACACCACACTAATTTGGACACTTTCTTCTTTCCCATTGAATGTACAGTACTAAAACTGTAAGGTGTTCACTCTCTATTTATGTGAAATGTGTGCAGAATTTCGAAATGGCACCCGATGATGCGGTGTGTGTGGTCTCCCATATTCCATTGCTGGAAAGCCATCAGCTCAGCAAAGTCCAGACTCTCCCGTAAGTTGCTTCTTAATGCGACTTGTTAGACAGTGAGTATTGTACTGTACCTTCTCTATAATGTCATTGGTAAAATGTACGTGCAATTACTACGAGATATGGTAGAAACAATTTTTCACTTATGAGTGCATACTAATTTTGGTTAGCCTGCAAAACTGTGCAGTATTAATGGTTAGCGTTTTGTGTGCATTACAAGTTGTGAAAGTCTATTGGAAATGAGGGTTGTTGTAAATTAGTATCACACAATAATATGCTGATTTATTGTGACTTGCGTGGGCGGATCAAAGGAGCCGCGCGTACTCTTATTTCCGTATTGTAGCAAGCGTTCAATATGACCAATATTGAACATTCAATAAAAGAATTATTGAACAGGCATCATAATATATACAGGGGAGTACAGTGACCAAAACTACATGACACATGACTCAAAAGTTGAAGTTGAAAGTACAGTTAGACAGGTTTCCACTGATTTGTGGAAGTTGTGAAACGTGTGGACCTTCCTCAATATTTTCCTTACCCTCCTCCATGAGGGCAACATTCTCGTTACACTCTACAAGGGCAACATTCAAGATGGCCACACCTGCAGCACGTTGCTGGTCCTCAGATGTGTGTTCGTATGTACGTAGAGCTTTCAGGCTCCTATGTCCAGTCACTTCGCCAACAACCTTTTCTGGAATTCCAGAAGCAAACATTCGAGTAGTAGCTGTAGCCCTGAGGCTGTGATTAGTGTAGCGAACAGCTAATTTCGCACGTTCGGGCATCATTTTCTTGATCCCCACAAGTACTCTCTTGTACCATGGCTGAATAGGACTTTCAGGAACTCGAGAAAGCCACTGAAGGTAGAAGGCAGGTGGGTTTTTAGGGAGTTTAGAGAGGTAGCTATCCAGGATACGCACTGGACATTTGTCCGACTCCGGCTCAGCAAAAACTTTCACTATTTTGTTGCTTTTGTCACATTCTGAAAAACGCCCTTGATAGTTCTTCGAGCCATTCTCAACATATCTATAATGCGTCTTTAGAATAACCTACCGCTGGATCTCGCTTGAACTGATCGACTTTCAAATCATAATGTTCCTGTCCTCCCCTGAGGCTGAAATACATTCCAACTGTCACTAACACGGCACGAAGTAGTGCTTCTGGTGGTTCAAACCCCAATACGCCGCTCTTCCACATCAACATCTCGTGCTCATATGATACCGCTGGGGCATGAGAAAACCTCGGCGCCAATACCCTCCTTCCTTAACCCGACACATACTGTATCCAGGGTATTCCGGAGCTCGCTGAAACGAAGATCATGCTTGTCGAAGATATTGAACGGGATCTTGTTCGTCCGCAATACGCGTTGAAAAGCCGACAACATCTGCCGTAACATCTGCCAATTCTTCTCCTCTTCCATGTCAAGGAGAATCGATAGCAAAACTGGCGCTGGTCGTGGTAGCAGTTTGAAAAGTAAGTCACTGCTAGCTACTGCTGTATTTCACAGTGAGCTATTGACTGATCTCCTTGCAGCTGGAGTCTCTGTTGAAGAGGTCGAACCTCATACGTGAAAGTGACAAGGGAAAAAACACTGTGTTGAAGACAAGACTCCTTATTCAGGAATTGGAAAGAAAACGTGGCAGCAGAAAACGTGGCAGCAGAAAACGGATCTACCACCGAGGCAGGTTCAGATACAACTTGTTTCCATATTATGAAGAATACTTAAATCATCAAGTGTTAATCAACGGTCATCAAGTGTTAATCAACGGTCACATACACTTTAATGGTGTGCATGTATTCATTGCGCAGCTCCATGCACCACTTAAGTGAAGCGAACGTGGTAATGCGAAACAGTGGGCTTCCCTCGTGAATATTCTTTCTCAATTAATGAGCTGCCTGCCCTTTCTTTTCCGAGGCTGATGGTCGCGGCGGGTCTTCAGTTACGTATACATGGGGTGGATGGGGTGGAGATTGCTTTATTCCGTCTGCATTGCAGTCTTTTTTAAATTCTACTAATAAGTCTTCATATGTGACGTTCGCTGCATCTGGTCTTGCTCCAGAGTTCCACATCTTTAAATATGAGTTTCTTCATAATATGGTACCATTAAAGAGACCAGATTTCAGCTATTAGTGTCTTCATATGTAACATTCACTGCATCTGGTCTCGCTCAAGAGTTCCACATCTTTGAATATGAGTGTCTTCATAATATGTCACGTTCACTGCATCTGGTCTCGCTCAAGAGTTCCACTTCTTTTAAATATCATATGTGACGTTCACTGCATCTGGTCTCACTCTCCAGAGTTCCACATCTTTAAATATGAGTGTCTTCATATGTGACGTTCACTGCATCTGGTCTCGCTCAAGAGTTCCACATCTTTAAATATGAGTGTCTTCATATGTGACATTCACTGTGTCTGGTCTCACTCCAGAGTTCCACTTCTTTAAATATCATATGTGACGTTCACTGCATCTGGTCTCACTCTCAAGAGTTCCACATCTTTAAATATGAGTGTCTTCATATGTGACGTTCACTGCATCTGGTCTCGCTCAAGAGTTCCACATCTTTAAATATGAGTGTCTTCATATGTGACATTCACTGCGTCTGGTCTCACTCTCCAGAGTTCCACATCTTTAAATATAAGTGTCTTCATATGTGACATTCACTGCGTCTGGTCTCACTCCAGAGTTCCACATCTTTGAATATGAGTGTCTTCATATGTGACGTTCGCTGCATCTGGTCTTGCTCCAGAGTTCCACATCTTTAAATATGAGTGTCTTCATATGTGACGTTCACTGCATCTGGTCTCGCTCAAGAGTTCCACATCTTTAAATATGAGTGTCTTCATATGTGACATTCACTGCGTCTGGTCTCACTCCAGAGTTCCAATTCTTTAAATATCATATGTGACGTTCACTGCATCTGGTCTCACTCTCCAGAGTTCCACATCTTTAAATATGAGTGTCTTCATATGTGACGCTCACTGCATCTGGTCTCACTCAGAAGTTCCACATCTTTAAATATCATATGTGACGTTCACTGCATCTGGTCTCACTCCAGAGTTCCACATCTTTAAATATCATATGTGACGTTCACTGCATCTGGTCTCGCTCAAGAGTTCCACATCTTTAAATATGAGTGTCTTCATATGTGACATTCACTGCGTCTGGTCTCACTCCAGAGTTCCACTTCTTTAAGACTCAGGGTAAAAAGTTCTAAAATAGCTAGCAGGTTTACCTATTATTATACTTGTGGCTCTCGTGATTTAACTAGGGAGCCTGATCCTGACTGGGAAGAACACTGGGATGAAGATACGTTAAATATGAGTGTCTTCATAATTATGTCACGTTCACCGCATCTGGTCTCGCTCCAGAGTTCCGGTCCCACCCGTTTCCGGGATTCGCGTGCGTGTGTACGTACGTGTACGCGTGTATGCGCTTCCGCCTGAGTACAGCCACCTACTGGCGGACTCATGCGCATAAGTGGAATGCCAAATCCCACTATTCATATCCCTACAATCACCTGACTCTGCCAGTGTGTGTGGAAGACCACTTGCACAACCAATTACTGAAAGCAACCTATGTCGATAACCATATACATAAGTAAGGTCTATTGTTTGCATACCTGATCTTCTCCGGGATATTCATGCACCTGTTCACCTGTTATCTTCGACGACGACGACGAGGATAGACACGCTCACATCAGAGAACTCTGTTTACGAACAGGAGGAACAACAAGAGAACGAGAACGTTTGCTAAGGCTAAGAAACAAGCAGAAAGAGACACAGAGATAGCTACAGAAACTTACCATGTCTATAAGAAGTTTCTGAAGAAGTTCTTTCTCCTCTTCCTGGAAGAAAGGTGTACATGTGGTCTGTTACAATGGGGAATAGGGGGAGGGGGAACAAACAGCAGAGACAGCATGCAACGTCCGTAAAAGGAGGCCTTTTAGCGATAGTCACGGGACCAGTAGTGTATGACGTCAAAAGAGAAAGAAAAAGCCTTCCAATGCCTTTAGAAACTTCTTGGCTCACTACAGGCTATGTTTCGTCCAGGTTTTAAAAGAGAAGGGGTGGGGGTGAGGGCACAAGAGGAGAATCACGTTACCTGATGAATGGGCCAGAGTTGTAGAGGGAATCAAACACTACTCTGTTCAACTTGTTTCTCCTGACCCCAGACTGAGTAGTTCCCCACCACCTCTTCTGAGACTGCACAGTTGTGTACGTACTCAACTCCCTCATGTGGATTTGGCTTTTCTGTTTTAGGATGTTCAGTGCGATTGGAAATCCAGCTGCTAAATGTTTTTTTCGAAAGGCCAAAGCAAGTCACCGTCGTGTGTTCTCCTGAAGTGCTTATGTAGCCAATCCCGCTTTGGAAGCTCACGTCACAACATACCTGAACGGAAGATGGAAGAGAAAGGAATGAAACGAACCGAACGAAAGAAGGGTCATACAACAACCCTGAACACTTTTCGGCCTCAGCTAATGTTGAACAGTCAGACACCTGTTCACTAGCGCTTCCAGCTGCAGTTACAACCGAGGCCTCACTCTCCTCAGAGTCAGACTCCATGATATATCACGTGTTTCAAGGTGAAAGGTCTGTGCACATGCGCATGAATTGAAAAGCGACACCCATTATTCTTAGTTATTCTTTCTCCCGCTCACTGACTCCTCACGCTCGCTACTACTCGCACCGCGCGTAATGTTCTTCACGCGCGGAATAGTTATCGGAGGTTCCACTCCGCTATTGACTGATCTCCTTGCAGCTGGAGTCTCTGTTGAAGAGGTCGAGTTAGTATTAGTAGAGTAGTATTAGTATTAGTTGGGTGGTCGCTCTGCCGCCCGAATTGCTCTTCCCGTTAAAGCTAGCACAATAAAATTCAGGAACCGTTAAATTCAGGAATTGGAACAAAAGAAGGCGTCCAACTGTTCACTACCATGCTTTGTAGGCGTACAGGCAGCCATGGTAGTAAATTAGTGACGAGTCATTCTAAAGAGACCAGATGGCAACTGGTGAACAAGTCCCA